TTTAAAATCCGGACATCATTGGCAATGTTATTGTTTTAGTTATGCAAACAAAAACTCATTTTATTTGTTGTTTGTTGATTTTAAATGTAAAACTTGGTGAAATGATTTGTGTGTCAGTACTTTTTGAACATCTCCAGCACATTTTAACATTACCGTGATAATACTGATAACCGTGATCATTTTGGTCACTATAATCGTGATAAGAAATTTTCATACCGTTACATCCCTATATATATTCTGGTCTCTTTTTTAATTGTCCGTTTTAATTTTCCAGGCAAAAAAGGCAAACTGCTTAGAAAAGTAATAGCAAAGCTCTCCTCGAAAGCTTAATACTTCTGGTTTATTCAAAATCAAAGTATGAGCAACAGTATAATACTCACTCTTAGTAGGCACAAATTATATGTACACATTTGAAGAACTCGTTTCCTGTTACATAACTCAAAAAGAAAAAGATAAAATAAATCATTAGTTCATTATAACATTAAAAACAAAATGAAGACCTCGGTATAAATGAACCTGTCAAACATACCCCCAAAACATCAAAACGCAAAGAGAACAGAGAGGCGTCTGCCTGAGCTTCACTCAAGTCTGTGAAGCTCCATTGAAGAGCTGTCAGGAATTTGCTCAAATGAACTTCATCTGTCTCTTCACCATGTCACAACAAAGTTTGTATCAATAATCCATCCAACTGCTTAACTCTCTCCACAGTTACGAAACAAAATCTTGTTAGCTGGTCTGGCTTTAAGTCTTTTTTATTATATTCTCTCTGTGCAGTCGCTATGGGTTATGGGGGAGATAATTTGAATATATCTACATGAGTGTCTCCTTTAAAAAAGTGAGGGCATCAGGTAGAGCTGTGCGATATGGACAAAAAAAAAAACTATCGCGATTTATTTGATAAATTTTGCGATTTCAATGTTAATCACGATTTTGACACACACAAACATGCTTTACAGTCATTAATGCATTCAGTGTGAATTTGGAACATATTTCCAAAAGAAAACCAATTAGAGCTTTATCAAAAAGCTGTAACATGTATCTAGAACAGACATAAGGCAAAATAATTACTAAGTAAAGGTGTAACAAAATGTCTCTAGAATAAACATATGGCAGAAAAAAAAGAAAATCCCGTGTCCAGGGATTTATTTTTTTTGCCATGTATTGGTCATAGAGCTCTTTGTGGCGTTGCCTCAGATGTTGAACTAGATTTGTTGTGCCAAGTTTACACGTACTCCGTCTGCAGTGCGTATACAGTATGTGTATGCGGTGCGGAAGCAGCACGGACTCATTTTGCTTTCGCACAGGACGCGTTTGCAGTCCACTCCTGATCCGCGGCTATTTACCACAAACAGAACATTTATCCATTATTTTGATTTCAAATCCAAACGTTGCTTCTGAAAATGCTTTTTCAGCATTGTGATTCTCTTTCATCACAGTACAGAAATACAATCTTTCATAAAGTTATATTTATCGAGTTTAAACGTGAATATGTCTAACTACCACCACGAGTGCCATCTATTATTGCCTTGTTTATCTAAAAATGCACTTTTCCTTGTTTTAAATCTAGCCAAAAAGCCATGTGTTGACTGTGAAACAGTAGACTTTAATTATATGCATTTATGGTGTAATAACTAAATTTCTGTGTCAATCCATGTTAATTTTTACAGCGAATAATGTGCTGTCACTTTAATTCAGCACGTGCAGCACAGCAGAAATAGATTCCCTGCAGAAACGATCGCAGCATGACTGCTGCAGACGCACCGCTCCTAGAGTGCACTGCCGGACCACAATCGTGTGCAGTGTGAACGCTCTGATCCGTTAACATGTGTGCGGAAAAATACGCACCACAGACAGTGTGCGTGAACCTGGCGTTACGTTTGTAGCGTACCTCAACCCTATTGGTAGAGCTCAGTGACCAAAACTCATCTGGTTGAGTTTTATTACAGATAAGTAATATAACACAGGCTGCCTCGAAAATTATTGGTTGTAATCTTCTCACAATTGATGAGATTTATGTCTCATGTTTTCAGAAAAATGGTCTAACAATCCATCCAGCCAGACACCTCTTCACGACTCTACCTTCAGGCAGACACCTTAGAGCAATTAAAACTAAGTCTACACATTTTATGAACTGAAATTATTGTAGGATTGTTCATGCTCTTAATTCCTCTGGTATTCATGCATCTGCACTTCACTCCCTGTAATTGATAGGACACATATGATTATAATGTACACTATGTGTGTTCGCAAATGTACAGTATGTTATCATTGTTGATTAGCTCACCAAGTAAAATTCCGAACAACTAGGTTATGGCAATAAATACATTAGACAACTGATTAGTCTGTCTCCTTAGATGCTGATTAGTTGCCTAGTCAATGACATATGGGATTGTGAAAATATGTAGTTTTGCACTAAATTAATCTAACATAATCTGATATAATGTAATTAGGGCAATGCAAATTATCACGATAACATTTTTTCATATCAGTCGATATCGATAATTATCACAATAAATTTCAAATCTTTATTTCTTTCAAGTTTAAAGGCAGAATTTTGCTCCTAAGTGAAAATTGTAAAAACCAGACCATTACTTGTGGTTTTAAACTACTCTTTATGGTCAGAACATGACAAACACTTCATGTTTTTGAATTCTTTACACTTTTTTTTTACAATTTCTTAGTTTCAGCATGTTCTAATGAGTGATATTGTTTCAAACCATGAAACAGATTTGTGTTGCCTGACTTTGATGACGAGTACCTTCAGCACAAGAAAGTGGTGGCATGACCGAGATCATCAGTGAGTAAACGCATCTGCTCTAGTGAGCTCGCGCTGCACTGCCATTTGAACTTTGAACCGAGCGGATAAATGGTCTGTGTGGTGCGGTTCAAAAGAGTCGCACTGTTTTGTTCTGCATTTGGTGAATAAACATTATATCGAACATTTATCAAACTCTTGTTATCGTTTTGAGGAAAATTATTTCTCGATAATTATAATTATCGTTTTATCACCCAGCCCTAAATGTAATATAATAAAACATAATGTTATATAACAATACAATATACACTACAGTTTAAAAGTTTGGGGTCAGTAAGTTAATACTATTTATTAATAGAGTTAATAAAAGGGCTCACAAAATCGCTAGCCAAATGTCCCTTGTCTATTGTGTTTTCCAGTCGGGCTGCCAAAATGTTTCACCACCCTGCCCAACGGGCTATCTTGAATAGTGAAACAAAATCCCTTGCTTAATTCACGTTGTTCACTCGCTTGTAGAGGTTAAATGGATAGTAACTGACCATTTGCATGTGTTTCTAAGTCTTGCCAATTTAAACATTCAAGCGTTTTAAACCATTAAAGCGCTGTTATTTGCGCGCATGCACTCAAAGCGCGCACACAGAGACCCACGTTTCATACAAGCGCGCAATGCAGAATTTATTCCACTTTTACATCTTCTTGCGCTTGAATGGACACATACACACAAAATTATCTCAAAATACCCATCTCGGCAAAGATTCTCTTAAAGAGTTGGTTATGTCTTAAGTGAAGTGAATGTAAACAGAAGAAAATGTGTATCATTATATTGGGTCCGTGCATCAGGTCTTAAAGGGACAGCAGCCAATAAATACCTGCTGCTGTCTGTCATTAATGTTAATCAAACAACAAAACACAACTTTAACAAAGATTAATCTATATTTAATTTATACAGTAAACACTAAACAGTGTTATTTTACACTTAATTACATTTTTGTGCCTGAAAAGTGTTAAGACTTTACTTTATTTGTAGCTTTGTCATATTTTATCTATGCTTGTAATTTATTTGTTCTTATTTTAATACTGACAGTTTACTTGTCTTTAATAATGTTTGACCTTTTTTAGTCATGCTACTAGTTTTTGCTGTGGTATCGAAGAACTTAAAGTGCTATTTAAATAATAATTAAACAATAATAATTTTGCACACCAAAAATATTCTGATCTGTGACTGGAAACCAAAAATACAATCTGAACCGTGAGATTTGTGAACTATTGCACCCCTACTTATTTAATTTTTAAATCACTCAACACGTTTTCGATGCAAGTGGAAGCATAAAGCAATAGCAGAACAAATGATGTTGTCGTGAGCAATAAAGTACTGACTATTAAAACCAAATTGCTGAACCTCATCTTAGGCTCAAAATCACTTAAGAGTCACTCAACTTCGATAGAAGTTTAACTATTAGCCCATTAATAAAATCCCAGCATGCATCAGTGTTAATGAATCCATCAAGTAGATCAATGGACTGTAACTAAACAAACAAATTAAAGTGCAAATGCAGACTCCAGATCTTCTCTGTTTTTATATTTATCTTTCATTTCTCTCTGAATATGTGCAGTAATTTTTTTACAGATTGAATAATGGGTATAATTAGGACTGCAAGACATATGTTGATTGGCACAGGCAGTCTAATGCTGATTTAATGTGATTGTTATGACACACCTCATTCATCTTGATATGGCTGCTGAAACAGTGAATGATGCTTTGATATATTGGGTTCAAGATTTATTATCATAAAGAATGTTTAGATGTCTGGTATATGCAATTTATCTTTGTTGGCCATGGATTGTCTCTTTGCATGAAATTTAGTGCCACAGTTCTGAATGAGTGCGATAAGAGGAATAATTTTACAAGAGGTCCTTAAGCATGGCTGACACATGGAGAGAAAAAGAGTCCATCCACTTTAAAACTGCTGTGCCTGCCATCAATTGACCCTAGGGAACATAAGTAGAAAATGGAACATTGTTCTCACACAAACATCTTGAAAAATAAATCACTACTGATAGGAGAGTGGCTCTACAGTCTACCAAATCAACAAAAAGAGACAAGATATATCTAGGCAACGGTGTTCAATGCATAATGCTTATATAAAGTAGAGGTCGACCGATAGTGGATTTTACAGGTACCGATAGTTAGGTTGGACCACACTGCCCAATACAGATTAATCAACCGATAGTTTTTAAAATGGATACTATATGAACTAACTAAAATAAAATAAAATAAAAAACAGTACTGAAGCATTATTTGTAAATTAATACAAATATTAATATTAAATATAAATTAAATTATATATTGATCATTAAAATTAATTCATAGTTCATTAATGTGAACAGAAGCAACTTCAAAATTTAAGAATTAGTAGATGTTGAAATTAGTACACTCTAAATAGATGGCCTTCTTTAAATATCTACACAAAGGCTATAGCATTTAAATTACATACATATGGATATTGTATGTATACTCTCACACTTTAATTGCTACTATTCTAGAACACTTGATGATTATCTTTTCAAAATAACAAAATATGGCAGTAGCACAAAAAGTGTTGCCCCTCATCTAGGAGAACTCTCTGGTATCAGGTCAAGTGATCAAGTTTGGTGTTTAAAAAAACAGGAGCAAAACGGAAAGAAAAAGCGTGATCTACATTATAGCTCACTATATGAAGCATACAGACTTTATTAGAGCCACAGAAAGACAAACGTTTCACTGAAAAATGCACAATACACAATCTTCCAGCCTTGGGTGAAATCATTATGTACATTAACAATGATCCAGGACAAATATATTGTAATTTAATAGAAAACTGAATGGTGCTCTGTGGCGTAGCAGGATTTCTGTCGGCTGCATGAACATATCAATGTGCTTTCTCACGTCACAGCTTTAAATCTGCAACTTCACTGACTAACAAATGCATTAATGTGACCAGCTGGATATAAACTAATGCAAAGAGATGTTAACAATCATGACATTAAACATTTCGGTCGTCAGACTTGCATGCGTTTTGGTCACTTTGTTTGAACCGCTTGAGGTGCTGCTAATGTTTGAGTCCTCTCAGTCTTGATAGCAAACATACTGATGTTTTTTCTCCACTAATGCATCGTCTAGTCAACAAATTAAATAATTAGTAATGATATGAAAACATGCACTACCGTATACGGTGTACACACTGTTTGGTTGTCGTTTTTAAAGGGGTCATATGATGCGATTTAAATTTTTCCTTTCTCTTTGGAGTGTTACAAGCTCTTGGTGCATAAAGAAGATCTGTAAAGTTGCAAAGACTAAAGTCTCAAATCCAAAGAGATATTCTTTATAAAAGTTAAGCGTCAGCCACACCTACCTAAAACAGCTCGTTCTAACACGCCCCCACATATCTACATCACTATGTGGGAAGATTTGCATAACGCCGCCCAAATGTTCACGCAAAGAAAGAAGGCGTAACTTTTATTCTCGCTGTAGTATTGTTGTTGTCGCCGCCGCCATGTTGTGAATGTGCTGTGTCATTCGTTGTGAAAGTGAAACTATTATGGCCTTCCAAAAGAGGACGATATCTGCTTAGTCATGCCTGGAGCTGATCCGTGCTGGTTGCTGAAGAAATACTACGACTTTGCGCTGTGGATCGCCGGATCGGCTTTCACCGTGGACGAAGCGGAGTCCAGC